AAAAAAAAAAAAAAAAAAAAAAAAAAAAAAAAAGTAGGGAAGAGGAAGTATAAAAAAGCTCGATAATGCATATTCAATTTTTTTGTTCTACTTTTCTGTTCATTTTCTTCTTTTGTCTTTTTGACATTTAGAGAGCCATTTTGTGTATATTGAAGAAAAACATTATTTTATACAGTTAAAGGCTAAGGAAATAGGTTTTTTTAAATTTCTTTTTGTAAAGATTCAGATATCATATTGAGTGATGTTCGACGTTCTCTTACTTTTTTTTACCATCACAACGAAATTATAAAGAAATTTTTTGCTGAAGAATTAGCATCATTCTTTTTGCGGAGGAAAGAGGGGCCAAGAACTTTGCTTTTTTCTTTTGATTTGTCGGATAGATTTTCTTTGGTTAGTTTACTTTGATCTCTCACTCATATCTGACTAAATTATACTGTTACTGCTGTTGCCACTGCTGCTGCTACTGTTACAGTTGCCACTGCTATGGCTACTGGTGACGTTAGCTATTTCTGCTGTTACAGCTAATTTGAACCTGTGTAAGCAATTAATTAATCGTTGAAGACCATGTAAAGGTATTTCTTTTTTTGAAAAAGTGATTTTTCTATTTTTTTCTTAATCGTTATTTTATATATTTGTACAATATGCTTTACTTTATTTTAAACGGCTATTAGACTTAATATATGCATTTTATTTTACGAAACCTTTTTCTGTGTAAGGCCTATTTTTTTTGCGTTTTTAGACTTAATTTACAACTTTTTTTGGTATTTACAAGTAAAAAGATGAAAGAATAACAAATGGATTTATTTTCATTTATTTGTTTTTTTATTTTTTAAAGTTTGTCACATTGCTCTGTTATCGCTATTTATCTTTTTTTTTTTTTGTTGTCGCCAGTTTCTAATTTACTGTTTTACAGTTATTGTTCGAGAAGAAAAGAAAATTTACACAGTATACTAATAATTATTCAGTAATATTAACATAATCTATTGTATCGTCTGCCAACTGTATAACTTTAACAGTAGCAGCAACAAGAACAACAAAATGTGTTCAAAAAAATGACGGACACACTGATCGCTATGATTTACTTTCATAAATTATACGTATCAAGGTAATTGTTTAACTTCTGTTGGAAGAAAAATAAGTAAAAATTTTGTTTTTGATTTGAATGATAAAATTCAAAAACTATCTTTTTTTATTGTCAAATGCAAAATATTCTTACAAATACTTTGATAGAAAGTTTGAAGTTTTTGGTAATGATACGATGAAGCGATAATTGCAGGCTAGTTATATGTATACCATATCAATTTGCTTCGTTGTTGACGTTTTATTCGCTTTTAATATTTTATATGATTACGGGTACACTATGTTCTGATCTCCAAGACGAATCTGATAATTTGCTCAACAATACGGACGAAATTTGCTTACGACAGTATGAACCGGTGTTTATACGAACATCATTAAGCAACTGGAACAAATATGTGAACTATAAAAGTTAGTTGTTATTAATTGTCGTCGTCTTTTCTGCGTGCCTGTAGCACTTCCCATACCATCAGCTGATTGATACTCATTGATACTGTTATCGTTTTGGTCAGTCACTGAACTTTTAAGCATCAATTATTTTTGCTGGTACTTTTACAGAAGGCGTTTGTCGAAAAGACTGTGTTTATCCGCGACGTATTGATAAGGGATTTTCTGACTGGGAACGTCTAAGGGTGGATGAGGAAATTCGTCGATTGTAAGTAGTATTTTTTTTTGCTTTGGTTAATTATGATCGTTTTCTAAGAAATAATTGATACTAGCTTACAGAAGTC